AATTTTTAAAAAGTGGATCAAAATATAATTCAACGTTTCAAAATCAGTTTATAAAAATGATAATTAATTCTCGGTTATATATACTAATATTATGCTCACAAATTATTGAACTTGGGATTTCCAACATTAAGAAAATTTTCCAATTATGATTAACTCGTGTTGTGCATGCTACGGACTATGGTACATGTTTTGTTTTAAAAGCCAATACATTAAGTATCGTAGTATAAAGAGAGTATCATATATTTTATTCAAAGAATATAATATTGGGAAATGGTGTCCATATTCATTTGTTTTTTTTATTGTATTGCATCCTATCCTATTGGAGAATATAGGTAGAAACAAAAATTAAGTCATGTTTGAAACATTGACCTAAATTTGGTTTCACATGAGCACGTGAAGTAAAATGTAATAATTCAGCTGACTCGTGAGATTACAAGTCAAGCCTTACACACTTAAAAATATTTACCAAAAAAAAAACTTAAATAGTTCCCACTCTATTTTAGTGATAATACTCTAATTTTCAGACGTTATCAGGAAAATTTTCTTAACAACCACGCATGTATAATTTTTTTTATTTTTTTTACTTCTATAATTTATCAAACACTATTCAATCACGTTAAAAATATTTTACATTTTGACTACTGCTACATACTTCCTCATATTCATACTTTCTTGTTCAGATGTGTTGGGCTGGGCCTTTTTCAGTCTTTGTGATACAAATTCTTTCACATTTTTTATCCTTACAAATTTTAAGGTAAATTCAACGAAACCATGTTTTTCTAAAATATAAAAGTTACAATATCAATGAGAACTCAGTGATCTAGCAGAAGAGGTGTAAATGTCCACAAAATAGATGTCCATATTTAATACACAGCCATCTCAAACTAAATTGTGCAAAAAATATTTGTAAGAAATAAAAAGATAATGACAATATCCAAAATTCTATCTATTATCTTGCATGAGAATTTAGTCTGAAAATATAAAATTTACTTCTTTTTGTTTTTTTTATGACATCCAAATTAAAAGTGTTTTTTTTTATAAAAATTAATTTAAAATATGTTTTGCACTATTTTTTTTTTTACAATAAATACTCTTAATTAAAGTTATTTATTTTAATTCAGTACCATTTCTGGTCTTGAATATAAAACAAAAATAATCACATGAACATTAAATATAAATGAATTTCAACTAATTTAATCTTATTTAATGTTATAATTTTTAAAATATCTTTCATTTAATTGAGATTTTATTTTCAATGACTTGTCTTCCCTTTTTGATATTAAGTTCTAATGAAGGGTAGTTCAGGAAAAAAAAGAATAAAATGAAATTGATGCAATTAAATGATGTTAATATTTTTTTTAACAAGTTTATATTTTTTTGTGCTTACACGTGAGTATTTTCTTTTTCTGTAGGGAAGATTACAAAGAGGTTAGCCCTCATTTTCTTTGGTATATATATATATAGAGGGATCCGTTTACTCTAGGAGTAACTCTAGTTAAACTTACTCCGTTTAATAACTCATGTTCTATATCAAATTTTAACGATCTAATCGTTGAATTTAAAGTTCTTAATGCATAAATTAAGTTTACAAATTTTTAGAAAATTTGAAAATTATTTAATATTTCATTTCATTAATTCAAATTGATGGATAATTATAAAATCATTTCATACATTGATTTTAATTAATGAAATAAAGTATCAAATGATTTTCAAAATTTTTAAAAATTTACAGATTTGATCTGTGCATTAAAAACTTTAAATTCAATGGTTGAATCGTTGAAATTTGATGTAGAACATGAGTTATTGAACGGAATAAGTCATAGATACTCCTAAAGTAAATAGATCTCTCCTCTCTCACACACGCAGATACACAGACATACACAATTTTATCTTATTTTATGACATCATTTTTAAAATACTTTTCATTTAATCGAAAGTGCATTTCACAATTTTATCTTATTTTATGACATCATTTTTAAAATACTTTTCATTTAATCGAACGTGCATTTTTTTATCTGACATATTAATTTTCAACGAATGATAATTTAAGGAAATATTTTTTTAATAAAATTAGATAATGTTAACTAATTTTCTTAATTAAATGAATTAACTTTTTAATTAATAAAATTAATAACTTTTTTCAATGAACTAACTTGCTGGAAAAAAAAAACTAACTTTCTTAATTTTTTTTTATGTTTCTATTGGAGGCGGGAAGAAATATTTCATTTCATAGTCATAGAAAGCTCTTTGTTTTTTATATATATTTAATTCTTATAGTGTGTTTGGATGAGAAATTTTACAAATAGTGTGTTTGGATGAGAAATTTTACAAATTTAAGGAATTTTAAATTCTTGGTATTTGAATTACTTTGATTTCAATTTCTATCATTCTTAAAATATTTTGTTTGGATGAGTCAATTCAAATTTCTTAAATTTTAAATTGTTAGGTTGAATATGATAATTTGATTCCATCATAGTAAAATTGATTTTAAAAATATATTTATATGTTGAGATTTTTAAATTAAATTTTATAAAAATAAATATTAATCCATTTTTAAATATTTAATAATTTTAAAAATTAATATTAGATAATATTTAATAATTTTAAAAATTAATATAAGATAATATTTAATAATTTTAAAAATATTTTTGAATATCCAATAATTAAAAGAATGAAGAGATAAGATAAAATATATAGGTGAAATAAGAAAAACAAATATGAGGAATTTCAAATTCTCCCATTTTTTGGAGAATTTGAAATTTTACTATTTTAAGGAATTTCACAAATGCTTGGATTTCAAATTCTTTGTAAATTCCTCATCCAAACAAAGCATTTCACCTCAACGAATTTAAAATTCTTCAAATAAATGAATTACCCTATATAAATTCCTCATCCAAACACACTAAGGTTTCAACTAAACTAACGATAAATGGCTCCATTGTCTATAACCCCGGGTTCTCTGATCTCAGTTCCTGTATTCGTTATGTACTCTTGTAACAGAGATGTAGATCAAACTGTGAATTTCTACCCATTAACTCCTTCCATTTCAAAATAATGTCGCTGATGGTGTGTTTGGATGAGGAATTTATATAGGGTAATTCATTTATTTAAAGAATTTCAAATTCTTTGAGGTGAAATGCTTTGTTTGGATGAGGAATTTACAAAGAATTTGAAATCCAAGCATTTGTAAATTTCCTTAAAATAGTAGAATTTCAAATTCTCTAAAAAATGGGAGAATTTGAAATTCCTCATATTTGTTTTTCTTATTTCACCTATATATTTTATCTTATCTCTTCATTCTTTTAATTATTGGATATTCAAAAATATTTTTAAAATTATTAAATATTATCTTATATTAATTTTTAAAATTATTAAATATTATCTAATATTAATATTTAAAATTATTAAATATTTAAAAATGGATTAATATTTATTTTTATAAAATTTAATTTAAAAATCTCAACATATAAATATATTTTTAAAATCAATTTTACTATGATAGAATCAAATTATCATATTCAACCTAACAATTTAAAATTTAAGAAATTTGAATTGACTCATTCAAACAAAATATTTTAAGAATGATAGAAATTGAAATCAAAGTAATTCAAATACCAAGAATTTAAAATTCTTTGAATTTGTAAAATTCCTCATCCAAACACACTATGAAGGTTTTTTATATAGTTAAAAAGAAAAAAGTCATTAAATGTTTACAATTAAGTTTTTGCTTAAATGTTTACAATTTTAATTTGAGAAGAATATTGTATCCTTTTACTTCATTGATATTCCTTCTTTTCACTTAATGAAAGTGCTAAAAGCCCTAAAAGATGTAGATGAAGTTAGAAAAAAAATTAAAGTCTTTTTTTTTTTTTTGAAATAACATTATTTAGAACAATTGAAATGACAATTAATTTTTGTAGGTATTCAAATCATTCTAAAATACAAAAGAAGAAAAAGAGACAAAAAAACTACATTATAGTGAAGACTGTACTACGCATGTCAGCATTAAGCATTGAAACCAAAGATAGATGACAAAACTCCCATTTGGTCCACGAGGTAGTAGATGATGAACTTTTCTTAGCCAACCAATCTACACATTGGTTCTCCTACCTCAAAATATGATTGAAGGCAAGATTCCAATTTCTACACATGTATTAGTCAATGTTGTTCAAGATTGAACCATAAAGATATTATTGAGAATGTTTTCCCGAAATCATTTGTAGAGTCAACTGAGAATCAAACTCAGAAATAACAATTCTAAATCCCATATTTCAGACTATTTGAAACCCATGGTAGATAATCATAAGTTTAACACTCATATTCATTGCTATCCTAATATACCCTAAAAATCCAATCTTTTAATGACCATGGGAATCTCTAATAAATCCATCGAAATTTGAAACTCCCGAGTCGCTTATAGAACTGCCATCAATATTTACCTTGATAAAACTCTCGTGAAGATGACCAAAATACAAAACGTTGATCCGTATTTCTGATTATGAACTTACCTGATTAAATCATGTTGTAAATTCGACTGGTTATATAAAAAAATGAATAAATAAATACTCCTATATTAAGAGTGCATGCAAACCATTTTTTTAACGGCACATGCAAACCATTTATTTTAACAATGTTTTGGTGTATAAGAAAATTAACCATAATTTGAATTATCTAATAATTTCTCAAACGCCCCTTCAATTCATGCAATGTATACAAAATATTCATCTATGAATATCGTCCATTGAGTCATGTAGTCCGATAGAGATTTTGGAAACTGTGTTGCACTATATTTAACATAAATTGAACTGAGTAATGTTTCTTGTATTCTACTACTGCGACCATCCAAAGAATACGCGTCCGTTGATGGGGGATCTTAGAGCATCAAAATTCAAAAGCACTCACTTTTTTTTACAATCGGTGGTGTCGGTGCATGCCCTCTTAGTTCTTGTCATTTATCAAATCAAGTGTATAAAAAAGTGAATACCGCGTACGCACATGCATGTCATAAAGGTAATTACATAGCTGCATTAAGTAGCGAAAGAAAAATATACAATAACAATTGAATACATTATAATAATGTAATCATACGGTGAGAGGAGAGATAATTAGAATATTGTACTCTCTGTTTTCCTTAGCATGCAACGAAACACGTATTACTTCCAAACGCCAAAAAGGAATAAATATATACACTAGAGAGTAGAGAGAAAAAGGCTCAACGGAGTTACAGAGACGCGAAAGAAAGGTAAAGATCAAACCCAACCCTGTTTGTAACGGTTGAAGAGGTCTTCAGTTTGGGCATTCCTGAAGGCACTACAAGCGATTACATAGACCAAAATGAGGACCACCACA